TTCCCTGCACACAATGTTCTCTACCTCTTGAGATTGTCGGCTCAGGAAGAGGAGCAGACCCAGCACCCGGCTAATGGCACGTGAGTACTCTTGAGTAGTTTACGTGCCAATGGCTGAGGGAGCACATTGCACAGCCAGTGGGAGAACTGAAAAGTGCCACTCCACTACTCAATTATATAAGGAGAGATTTCCTTCTCTGTGTTAAATCCAGGTGTTCAAATGGATCATTTGAACGCACTTATTCCTAATGGGACAATCTTCAAATTTTGGGAGACATGGGGAACTTTGGGGGGAAAATGAAGGCCAATGGCAAGCCAGAAAGCCAGGTGTTGGTGTGGGGAAAAGGTGGAGAGGTGGGTTGCTTCCCGGCTTGCCAGGTCTGCCAGGGAATGCTGATGGCAGGGAGAGGATGGCTGATTCACATGGCAGCTATTAAGAAAGGAGAGATACCATTGGGGTTAAGAGGAACCAGGATGGTAGACTGAGCACTTGCAGCAGAGGGGTGGGGCCAGTTATTGGGGAAAGAACATGTGCTTATAGTTCAGAGGTGTTGGGAGGCAGCATGGGATTGAAGGGCTTGGCAGCTGGCTAACCCAGTGTGAAGCAACAGCTGGATCCGAGGCAGAGATGCAGGAAGGTGGGAGTTGAGCAACCCTGGCTGGGGGACCCTGCAATGATCTAACCAGTGAGATTCATGGAGAACAAAGTTGTGCTTGAACCCAAAGTTGGTGTCTTGATTTGGTAAGGAAGGGGGCTGGAACCCTACCCCACATGGAGCTTGTTGAGAGGCTCCGCCCTCACTAGTCCATGCCTCCCAGATCCAGCAGAGTCATGGGCCACAGGGACATTTCGAGATCTTAGGCAGCCCCTTCTATCCCCATGCAATGGCTTCTGACAGGAAGTGAAAGATAACTGTTTTATATTGCTTACCTTGCACTGAGAATAAAATCCTAGATACTGGATACTCTCTCCCAGGCCCTTAAAAAAGTGGCAAACAGGAATCAAAACTAACATTAAGGATTTAAAAAAATCAATGTAATGGTCTATTACGTGAAGCTCGGGTTTTTTTTGTTTTTGTTTTGGAAGCATCTTGAACAATCGTGGTTGGTGGAAAGCTAGTATATGAGTATTTTAATAAATAAATTGGATGGCCATTCTATGAAAATGTTGTGTACCTTGGGGACAGTCATGGATGAAATGTTAAAGGACCACTGGTCTCGTGTTTCTCCTGACTTTCTTGTACATTCTCAGTATGTTTTCCTTCTGAAAGCATATTTTAATGTTTGAGCAGGATAATGAGGTTGCCTTCACAAAAGGCTGCATCAGATTTTTCTTTGTGATGAGCAGAAACTCAGCTTGTTGCCTCACTCACATGTCCCCCCCCTTCCTGCTTTCAGAAGCCTTCGATCAAAATCCAGCCTGTTGTGCCTAGGCAAAAAGGAGTCCCTACCCCCACCCCACAGGCCAGGGTTGTAACCGGGAATTCAAGTGTGGTCTAGAATCCTGTTGTGTGGGAAAGAATGAGCCTCCAGTTAATCCAGACACCTGCATTTAGGCATCATGGCAAGCTGGAATTTATTGAAAACGGAAGAGTTTAGTTTTCCTTATGGCATGCATGTGAGCTTGCCAAAGCAGCATCATTCCCGTTCTTGACATCCAAATAGAATTTCAGTGTGAGAGCAGCTTCCATATGGTGCAGTCGTCTCTCACTGGGAAGTATGTGTGAATATTACAATAATTATTTGAGTGAAGCTGATCTCATGGTCCTTTCCCAACCAATCACAATAATCTTCCCTCGTTTCTTTTCTTCTGTGGGGGAAGGCCAAAACAAAGTATTAGTGGCCACTGGAATCCAGTAGCTGTGAACCTCAGCTGAAATGTAAAAGGGGAAACAGAAAAAATGATACATTGAGCAGAATACTATGAAAAATGTCAGATACAGAATTTACTTTTTCAGATTTTTGTAATGCTATCTCTCCATG